TTTTTTTTTTTGGATTGGGGGAAAAGGGGGGGGGGAATGAAAGATATCCTCAGCAGCTTACATAACTTATTTGTTTGACCTGCGCACCGAGTGAATGGCCAAACTATTTCAAGCACGACTTGACGCACTTGCTTCGGCAAGACCAGTTACGTGGGAATAAAACAGAACCGTTATTTGGTGCCCCCCCCCGCCACTTCTTTTTTTCCCAACCCAACGCTAAACCTTGTCAGTATTTCGTTCTCTTCAGGAGCTCTGTTCTCTTCAGGAGCTCTAAGGAAGGAAAAAATGTTTCGAACATTATCAGAGATCCGTGCAGTGTAAAACCGGTCGCGTCTGTCACTGCGAATGTGGGGTGTAGAGTAACTTGTGACCCGACATTTTAAAAACATTTTTGAAGTAATTGACCCAAAAAAAAAAAACCCAGAAAAAAAAAAGCTTCCCACTCGGCTAGGACCTTTAAGTGAGCCAGTCTTAATACTAGGCTTATTTGTTTAGCGCTCATACAAACCAAGTCTTTCACTGCACAACTTTGACATACCATCTAATCCCCCACTGCACAAACTCTAACATGATACCAACATATCTCCCATTGGACGACTCTGACATACCAACGAAGCTCCCACTGTACAACTCTAACATATCAACATATCCCCCATTGCAACCACTCAAAACACCAAGATTTCTATTAAAAATAGCAAAGCCACGACTCCAAGGTGGATTCATCGACTCGAAGGTGGATACCCTCGACTCCAATGTGGATATCATCAACTCAAAGGAGGATACCCTCGACTCCAATGTGGATATGGAGTCCAAGGTGGATACCGTCGACTCTAAAGTGGATAACATCGATTCCAAGGTGGATACCCTCGACCCCGAGGTGGATAGCATCTACTCCAAAGTGGAGACCATCGACTCCAATGTGAAGACCATCGATTCCAAGGTGGATACCGTCAACTCCAAGGTCAACTCCAATCTGGATAATATCGATTCCAATGTGGATACTATCGACTCCTATTCGGATACTATCGACTCAAATTCGGATACCGTCAACTCCAAGGTGAATACCGTCGACTCCAAGGTGGATACCGTAGACTCCAAGGAGGATACCGCCGACTCCAAGGTGGATACCAACAATTTAAGGTAGATACTATCTACTCCAAGGTAGATACCATCGACTCCTCGACTCCAAGGAACTTTTGAAAATTTTATCATAAATTTATTGAAAGTAATTGAAAATATGTACAACTTGAACTCCAACAAAGGACGGCATTCGAGTGCAAGATATCATTTGTCACATGTCAAACAAGATCAAGATCAATCAAGTTGTTTTTAACGAATTTCAATAAATTTTAATAGTTCTCCCTGCTGCTCTTTCTGTTA